GGGCTATACGAAGAGGAATGTGGCATCAGGACTGGTGGAAGAATCAACAACCTGCTTTATGCAGATGACACAACCCTGCTTGCTGAAACTGAGGAGGACCTTAGGCGCTTGCTGCAGAAGATCAAGGACTACAGCCTCCTATATGGACTGAAGCTAAACATCAAGAAAACAAAGATTCTCACCACTGGGCCAATTGGCAGCATCAGTATGGATGGTGAAGAGATTGAGATAGTTAACAGTTTTAATTTACTTGGCTCCACAGTCAACACTCTTGGTAACAGCAGCCAGGAAATCAGGAGACGAATTGCATTGGGAAAGTCAGCTGTGAGGGACCTCTCAAGAGTACTGAAGAGCAACGATGTCAGGCTGGAGACTAAGGTGTGCCTGATCCGGGCTATAGTCTTCGCAATTATGTGCTATGCATCAGAGAGTTGGACAGTGAATAGGGTTGATATAAAGAGGATTGATGCCTTTGAGCTGTGGAGCTGGAGAAGAGTGTTAAATATATCATGGATTGCTAGAAGAAGAACCAGGTTTGTCCTGGAGAGGGTGAAGCCAGAGTGTTCCCTGGAGTCAAGGATTCTGAAGCTTCGTCTGACATATTTTGGGCATGTTGCAAGGAGGGACTGTTCCTTGGAGACGGACATCATGTTTGGCAGAGTGGAGGGGCGGCAAAGGAAAGGAAGACCTTTGGTGAGGTGGATCGATTCTGTGACTGGAGCAGTGGGAATAAGTGTGTTTGAGATGGGTAGGTTCAGCATTTAGAGCTCTTGTACATAGGGTTGCTATGAGTCGCAAGCGACTCAATGGCACATAGCAACAACAACAACAACACTGACCCTCCATGTTTCCAAGCATGATGTCGTTCTCTACAGACTGGCGCCCCCAACAACATGCCTAAAGTCCATGAGATCTAATTTCACCATCCTTTGTTGCCACGAGCACTCTGATTTCACAGTTTGTGACAGTACTATTCTCTTGGGAGTACAGGGGATATTCAGTACACTTCTTCAACACCACAACCCAAAGGCATTGATTTTTCTGTTGTCCTCTGTTGTTTTCATTGCCCAACTTTTCATAGTAAGCAATTAAGAAGACCATGGCTTGGACCAGGTGCACCTCAGTCTTACAACTGACATTGTTCTTCAGTACGCTAGAGAGAGATCCCTAATAAAAGATTTACTCAATGTGACTCATCTTTTGATTAGTGTTGTTATCAACAGTGTTAACTGTGGGTTTTAGCAAGATAAAATTGTTGACAACTTCAGTCTCTTCTCCATTATAATGTTGCCTTTTTGACCCAGTGGTGAGGATTTCTGTCTTCTTGATGTTGAAATATAATATATAATGAAGGCTACACTCTTTGATCTTCTGCAGCAATTGTTTCAAGTTCTCTTTACTTTCAGCAAGCAAGGCTGTTCCATCTTGACAACCTGTACAATGCATAATGAGTTTTCTTCCAATCCTGATGCCACAGAATCCAGAATCTCAAATTATTTTCCCAACGTATGGATTGAATAGATATGAAGAAAGGATTCAAGCACACCTCCTGATTTTATACCATGCTGTTTCCTTGTTCTGTCTGAACAGCTTTCTTCGTCTATGTATAGGCTTCACATGAGGAAAATTAAGTGTTCTGGGATTCCCATTCTTTTCAATGTTAGCCATAATTTGTTATGCTGTTTCATTAGCTGAGCTTTTTTCCCTTAGCTAAATTAGGGGCTTCAGTTGCTTCAAACAGCAGATCTAAGCACTGATCATTTTAGTGATTTCCAAAATTATACTGAAAAAGTCTACTGAAGCAGATTGTTATACCTTCTGTAGAGGGGTTGATTGGTATGGAATCTTGTAGTTAACACACTGAATGTTTAACGGCTGTGACACCACAAAAAAACATCATTCATAGAAAAATAATCTTGAGAGGAATCTTTTAAGTTATCCCTGCTAAGTATTTATAATGTATAGTTTTCGACAACAAAATATACAAAAACAAGGTATGGTTCAAACACAGATGAATAGAAGCAGTCCCTGAGAAATCAGACATTAAGAAGTAGCATGTAACAAAAGAATAAAAGAATAAGAAAAGTAATAGAGAAGCTGCTTTCACAAGATATGGCCACTTACATAATTTCTGAATCTGAACAATAGTCATGCATTGAATGTATCTTTTGTGTATATGAAAGGATGCAGTGTATGGGTGAGAAGAAAACTCTGAAGTAATTGAAACACAGTCAAGAGTAGAAGAGAACAGGATTAAAACATGAAGACCATCTCAATTTAACAGGATTTCCAATTTCTGCAAAGCATGCTGAACAGATCATGAATGCCAAAAGAACAGGCAAACAAATGTGTCTTGGAAGTAGTGTAGCCAGAATGCTCCTAGACTTGAAGATGGCAAGGTTTTGTCTCACACACCTTAACATGTTATCCAGAGGGATCAATTCATAAGAAAAACATCATTCTTTTTAAAATCTTTTTCTTGTTGTGTACCATCAAATCGGATCTGACTGGAATAGGAGGAGACTGCCCCTCCTTCTCCAGCAGAGCATCTGGTAGAATCAAACCACGTGCCTTTGGGATTGCAGTGCAGCTTCTTGTCACTAGGCTACCAGAGCTCCGTTAAGGACATCATTCTTGGTAAAGCAGAGGCTGATTGAAAAAGAGGAAGACCTTCAACCAAATGAATAGCATGATGACTTGCCCACAATGAACTTGAGCATGACAAGGACCACAAGGATGGTGCAGGACCTGGTAGAGCTGCTCTCTGCTACAGACAGGGTTGCTATGAGTAGGAGCCTGCTTGACAGCAACCAACAACAACAATTTCTGTGATCTCAACAAATGAGAAAATATTTAACTATACTTTAGGCATGTTATCAGGGATGAGCAGTCTCTGCAGAAGGAAGACAACCTTCAACATAATAAGGCGACACAGTAGCTCCAACAATGCACATCTTAAGAATGGCACAGGACCAGACAGTGAGATGGACTGACACAGTGACTGGGGAAATGGGGGTAACTGGCTCAGGATAGGGCAGGATTCAGAGATGTTGTACATAGGGTCACTACAAGTCACAGGTGACTTGATGGCACATAACAACAACTAAAGTCAGAAAGGGAGCTCCGGTGGTTTAGTGGTAAGGAATTATGTTGCCAGTCTCAAAGAACGCAGTTCGATTCATCAGCTGCCCCACAGAAGAAAGATGGATCATCTCTTCTCATGAAAGTGGTTGCCTCTGAAAACTTGCTGAAGGGTCAGCTATGAGTTGGTTTCAATTCAATGGTATAAAACTACAAAGACAACAAATCAGAACAGATTTGGTAGCACCTAGCAACCACACCATAATTATTCTACACTAGCAACACTGACTGATGTAATGATAAAATTCTTGTTTAAATGTTTGGGACTAAAAAGCCCTTAAAATATAATTTTTTTAAATAAAAATTTCCTTCACAATGAATTAAAATAATTAACAATGTTTAAAACAGGCTTAATATTTATTAATTTCCTTAAACATAGGGTGAGCCCAAGTTTAAATACTAACTGGTCACAATTTATAAATATATACTGTTAGAACAGACATGAGAGGAGTAGATTAAGCTGTCAGAAAATTTTTTCAATTACTACTAACATTTATAAATCTTGGAATTAAATAGAATAGCAACAAAATGTTAAGATATGTAATTAAGCTCAAGGAAAGTAAGACTTCCCCAAGGTGATAGAAAACAGTTAAGTTTGAGTGTATTAGTTACCTAGTGCTGCTGCAACAGAGATACCACAAGTACATGGCTTTAACAAGCAGATTTTTATTCCCTCTGTGTCTACAAGAAGGCGAGAAGGCCAAACTCATGGTACCAGCTCAGCAGAAAGCCCTTTTTCTCTACTGGTTCTGGAGGAAGGTCCTTGTTTCCTTCAGCATCTGTAGCCCCAACGTTCCCTGGAGATCTCCATGTGTCCCGGCCCTAGTCAAGGAGCTTCCTAATACAGAGGTCTGAATTCAAAAGGGCACACTCCACTTTTGGAGAGTCTTGCTTGGTGGTACTGAAATGTCCCCATCAACCCTCTGCTTGTTTTCCTCCCTTATATGGACTGAAACTCAACATCAAGAAGACAAAGATTCTCAACACAGGGCCAAATGGTAGCACCATGATAAAGGAGAGCTTAAGACTGTTAATAATTTCAGCTTGTTTGGCTTCACAATCAATTCTGTTGGCACCAGCAGTTAGGAAATCAAAAGCTGAATTACTTCAGAAAAATCTGCAGGGATTCTCTCCAGCGTGCTAAAGACCAACAATGTCAGTCTGGAGGCTAAAATGTACCTAATCCAGGCCATGGTCTTTGCAATCACTAGCTAGCTATGCATCAGAGAGCTGGATCATGACTAAGGATGACAAAAGGAGAATTGATGCCTTTGAGTTGTGGTTCTGGAGAAGAGTATTGAACACACCAGAGACTGCCAAAAGAATTAACAGGTTTGTCCTGGAGAGGGTGTAACCACGTAGCTCCTTGGAGATAAAAGATTTTGAAGCTCTGTTTCATGTACTTCAGGCATGTTGCCAGAAGGGATCAGTCCTTAGAGAAGGACATCATGCTTGGAAGGATAGTGGGACAGCGAAAGAGAGGAAGACCGTGAAGGACTGCACTTTTCAAAGGCATTTACTTGTTCTTTTAGCAGGCCATGGTTAGTTCAATATTCTTCACTAAAACCAGCACTTCTTAGTCGTTTACTCCATCCACAATTTATTCCACTGCACTGAAGAAAATGCAAATTTCAGTTGTTATTATTAAGTAAAAATAAAAATGTAATTTTCCTCTTATAAAATCTCTGCATTCTAGTCATGAACACTTTAGGTATTAAAAGGGTAACAGAACCCAGAGCTGATGAAAGAGGTGCCAATGAATTAAAAATTTTAAAATGCTAGTAAATCTAAACATGTAATAATTAATGAAAAATCTGAGTTATAATGCACATCTATCATTTTTAATTATGGTAACTTACCTGAGACTCCAGAATCTCTAATTTACGCTTCCGTGCATGAAGAGCTTTACTTGGAAATGCCCAATAATAATTTGAAGTTCCAATCCTCTCACAGTCAACCATGCCATCATCCACTAAGCTCTGAAGGACTTCTTTTACTGACATTGCAGCTAAGAGAGAGAATTTTTATGGACTGTATGTCAAGAAACATTAGCAATACAGTTAAAAGGCAAACTGGGGGAATACTGGCAACAAATATTATAGATTAAGAATTAATGTAGTTCCATAGTAAAAAGGAGTTCTTAAAAATATACACCACTGATAAAAAGATAATACTCCAAGAGGAAAAACAGTAAGAAGGTATCGATGAATATCTATAAAACACCTATGCATGGCTAATACAAGAAAACGTATTAACCTAACAAGAAAATATATGCAAAATAAAGTAATGGCACAGGATTTCTTGACTATAAAATTTTAAAATACTAAAAATTACTCTAGATAATCCATACTTGAATCCTTCAATATATGAGTACAAAAATCTGACTATATAACTAAAAATCTAGAAATATATTTACTCTTTAATGCAAAAATTTCACTTGCCACAGTTAAAGAAAAAGACATACACAAAGATCCTTGTTAAAGCACTATTTTCAATAGCAAATAGAGGAAACAACTAGCTTACTAGTTGGATTTTTTAAAAGTATGTTTGTTGGTCATGACAAGCTATAATGAAGCATTCATTAAATTTATGTTATAAAAGATGCTTACTATTATAGAAATATATTAAAATGGATTATACAGAAATGTGTTACTGAGAAATATATTCAAAATTTCTTATAGAAAAGTTAAATCATAATACACATTCTAGTGCTGACAGGAGTTGTCATGGTAGGTAAGGATTTTAATTTCCTTCTTTCTGCTCATTTCCCCCCCTGCATTTTTAAACAATGAACATGCATTGCCTTTTTATTAAGAACATTCTAATAAAAAGAGTTGTTATAAAAAATAAAGCAATAAATAAACTGGATGCTATCAGCTGTGAAAACTAGGCCCGGAGCTGACTGTTTAACAGACCACAAACTTCTCATATGCAAGTTCAAGCTGAAGCTGAGGAAGATTAAACCGAATCCACAGGAATCAAAACATAACTTTGAGTCTATCCCACCTGAATTTCAGAACCATCTCAAGAACAGGTTTGAGGCCCTGAACACTGATGAGCGAAGGCCAGATGAGTTGTGGAAGGATATCCAGGGTATCATCCA